TCAGAAGTCTGTTCCCTCATTAGATTTATTGAAATTTAAACCTTCCTTTTCAGTTTATTCCTCTTATCTCTGCATAGTTTTTAATAGTCAGAATTTCCCATCTGATTACTGCTAATCACATTGTTATCCTGCATTTACAGCCTTGGGGTTTATTACAAAGCATCTCTATTTCTCCAGCTAGGAACAAAACAGTAGCAGGTAGGGAGCAATATACATTTTCCAAAGATCAGAACCATTATTTAATGTTTTGTAAATATTTGCTTTAGAAGCAAGCTAAACGTTACCTAAGTTTCATTTTAAACTGCTATGTTTAAAGGAAAAAAATCACAAGGACATATGGAACTCATCTGAAGGAGAAAAAAATGTTACAATTACACAAAAGAATTAATTTCCCTTGCTGTTACCGAGAGCCTTCATAAAAGTTTGTGGCATGCTTTTGAGTCTTAGGTGGAACACTGTGATAGATATCATGTGGTTTGTGGTCTCCTTTTTCTACCGCCTGGAACTTTGGCTGGAGTTTCCACAACCTGACTGTCCCATGAAACTGGTACACACCCACATCTCGCTCCCACTGGGATTTCTGTTCCTGTTCTGCCTTTTTTTTTTTTTTTTCTCTTAGTCATCTTACCCACAAATGGCATAAATCAAGGCGAGGCTGTATTTTCACAGCTAGGAGGTTCTTGCAACATCAGGGCTCAGTTCAGGGAAACGGCTGTAAAACATGCAATATACCCCCCCACACACACACACCTGACTTTTGGCTAATGGAAGACATGCACAGTGCCAAAGATGTTCGTTTATTCCTGCCCTGGGTGCTTTCATACATACGCTATTGTTAGGGGTAATCACTCGACCTCACAACACAACACCCATGACCAAACAGGGCCTCCTGTCCTCTTAGAGACCTCTCAGATGTGTTTTCCAGTGCTTGAGATATTGGGTCATGTCAGGCAATCTTCCTACTATCTACAAAGTTTGTAGCTTCTGACAAGGCCCCTCTGTTCTGACACTACTTTGCAAAAGATTTGGGAAAGCGGGGGAAAGAGGATGGACCGAGTCAAAGCCACTCAGCAGGACAAACACAGCAATATTACATTAAAAATGGCACTCACCAGCCACATATACAGCTGTGAACAAATGCAGCAGTCCCCCATGCTACAGCATCAAGAGAGCATCGAGTCTCTGTAGCATATAAAGGGCTTAATGACAGCTTTCTCGAGAAAAACAACAGGATACTGTGCTGTGACCGGAATTAGCCCTCATGATACCACATCTGCTTGGACAAGAATTCTACAACCCCTTCCTCTCCAGATTTCATTTCAGGTAGGAGCTCAGTCACACACAGTGGCTGCCCAATATCCGGCACACACAAACATGTCTGGCTACGGGCTCTGAGCTCTGCTCTGGTGAGCTCTGAGGCACATTTGGGAGAAAGGGTCTGCTCGTGAGATAAACTGCATGGGCACACAGAGCCTGGCCCTGCCCTCCCTGTGCCTGTGGGGTTGTATTGTCACACCAGCAATGCTGGGGAGACAAGCTGAGGGCCTAGATGTTGCATGCCCTAAGGGGTGGGACGGAGTTAGGAGGAAACATGAGAGTTCACTGCCTACTAAGTAGGGCACACCTAGCTACTGCCATATCGCATCCCAGCAGCATAGACAAAGGGGTGAGTCCAGGCCACAGCATCCGGTGTGCACATATGTCAATGGTCTCCCTGTAAGCTCCTTTCCAGCAGTGAAGGGATACCTTGTGGGCAAAAAAACCTTCTGCTTCTTTCTGTCTCTCCAACTCTT